TATTTAAATAAAGGACAAAATAAATAACAATAAACCTGTATCGATTGCACAAGTATTAAATAATAATAATAATAAATACGAAAATGACAATAAAACTGCACAATAAAATAAACCCATTTAAGTACGGGGTATACAGGAGATCGTTAGCAGTAATTCTCTTTGTGTTTAAATAATAATCTCCACGTTGATCCCCTGTAAGGTTATTTGAACTTGCTTTATAGGACGTCTCTGCATTTTAAGTTTTGGCATGTTATTAAGTGATCTACTGAATTTGCTGTTATAAATCATTATAAGGTTCTTGAAATCGAATCTTATATAACCTAATAGAGCTGTAAATGTTAGATATTATTTATTTACATCATTTACTGTTGGCGTTTTATTTGAACATTCCAGCTAACATTAAAAAGAATGTAAATTCCTCGTTGCCAGATATAATGAAGGCATCGAATAAACCAAATGAAAACGGAGGCAAAAAAATTAAATAAATAAACAATTCAAGCGAAAATGAATAAACAATATACTAGTGATGTTACAGCAGATAGACGTTGTATTAATAGTGCAAAGTTTTTTTGCACAAATTGACAAATTGCAGGGTTAGGATGTGTAAATATCCTGTTGATATTTAGTAATCTTGCTGTATTTATCTTCTAAACGCACGATTGTTCCCGCATGGTAAATCGTTATGGTGTGTAGGCTATATTTTGGGTTCTGTTGATGGCTAATTAAAAATAAAAACCTTTCTAAAAATGTATGTGTTGTTTATATGTTATTGTTCATATTTTACAAGTGTTATTTCTACCCCTATGAAGATAAAAAATACCAACAACAAATATAACAATAAGAGAATATATTATTTGTGCTCATATTCAGGCTAGAGTGTATAAAAGATCGTTTATTTCTGCAGTCCACCATGTATTGCTTTTATTAAAGTTTAACAGCTTACATCACACCGTTTTTAAACCGTATATTATTGTGTTTTTTTAATGTAAGTGCTTCTATCTACATCAGTGAGCGTTTGTTATAGTGCAGACACCGGCAGTCGAGTGAGAAGTTCGGGGGGCGTGGTTGATTTTACATAAAGCGTTTGGTTGGAAGCTCGACTCCGCTCATTATCGCGGCTCCTCCTCTGGCTCCATCAGACAGTCCTTCTGCGCATGTCTGGCTCCAATTTCAGCAGTCTTTTGCGACAGTTTGTGCCCGTCAAGCAGGCGTTTTGCCCTCAAGGCGTTCAATGGCAAAAGGGGCTGTCGCGTCGTCCATATTTTTTTACAGTCATTGGTCAATACCTGAGCTTGAGCTGTGACTTCGTGAGACAAAACCTGTATGGCTGCGGGATCCATGTTGGGCGAAGTCTTCTGTAACGGGGAGACTGACACGGAGGGATCCATTTGCAGTATTTATTAAGTCACACTTAATCAACATACAACACGCACGACTGTGCGAACAAACAACATACACATCAATGAGAATGGGCTGGAGATGACAGACACAGAGTGATTACCAGGCATGGGTCAGAGGCAGGCAGCGTGATTCAGAGTCCGTGTAACAGGCTTTGGTCAAGGGCAGGCAGCGAGTATCAGAGTTCGTGTAACAGGCTTTGGTCGTGGGCAGGCAGAAGACAGAGCAGAGTCAGGAAACGGGCTGAAGTAGTAAACGGGAGATCAGGCAGGATAGAACGCTCAGAAATGCTGGCCGGGGCTAAACAAGACTTCGCACAGAAGAGAGAGTGTGAGCTGCTTATAAAGGGTACGTGGGTCATTAGCGGAATGGATATCAGGTGTGCTGGAATCAGAGTGGAGGGATGACGTAATGTTAGAAGTCCGGAGATGGTGGCCTCTGCTGGCCAGCGAGGGGAATGACTGGGACCGAGTCGGTGACACTAACCAACAAATGATCAAAGAAAATGTATTAATGTAATACAATATGAACTGATTTTTACTTTAAACTGTAATTATTTATTATGTATTATTTATTAATCATTCATACAGTTCAATGAACGCAACCTGTGGTAGATTATTAAAGACACAAACCCCTCACTGCATGACAGCTGCACCTAGCAAACCTCTTGAGTCCTGCAGCGCGATGACTTTATGATTGTTTATGAGCGTCAAAAGTGGCGGATCTGTTCGGCAAAATAATTAACTGCGTGTCACCGCATCCCAAATGATTTACGTGAAGTTTATTTATAAACTAATTTCCAGAGGATCACGTGATTTTGATTGAACACGGCTGGTTCTGCATTAGCATGTATGATCCACCAATCACGGCATTCCTAACCCACTGTAAAGAGCCAGGGTTTCCCACTACAGTCATCTTCAATTTGAAGAATCCCCCCTTCCACCCTTACCTCTCCAGCTTTCCCTTCAAAGGGTGGCACGGTGGCCCAATAGTTAGCACTGTAGCCTCACAGCCAGAGCGTCACCGGTTCTAGTCCTTTAACAGGCCAGCTGTCATTTTTGTGCATAGTTTGCATGTTTTTTCCGTGCTCGCGTGGGTTTTCCCCAAGTTCTCCGGTTTCCTCCCACATTCCAAAAACATGTACTACAAGTGAATTGATCAATCTAAATTTAGCACTACAGTCAAACTCTCATCCAGCAGCACAAATTCTGTGAGTTAGCCCTCAAACAGGAGGAGTGAAATGTTACAATTCAGCCCACAGTCGGGGTTAATTGTAACGTTATAAAATGAGAATTATGACATAAAAATGGATTTGAAAGCTTTTTATTCAGCATTGAGCTTTCAGTATAGTTTGTGTGTCTCTGTGTTACAAAGCTGAATGAAATGTGCAAATGTGCATCAGCTTCAACAATTGAACACTATTTTTGTTTGCAGGCTTCATAAGCCCACAGAGGTCAAACACTGAACTCAAACTACTTTTGACTTTCTCTTTTATAAGATATAGCAATACTGAAATTAAATCATATAAATACAGTTTTAAATCTGCTTGGGGTTGGTGGTAACATTTCACTGATGTGACTAGCAAGTTACTAGCTTTTGTTGTTTTAACTGACCCAGCATTATGTGGCCATGAATCTGTTCTCCTACAGCTAACAGCTAAAACATTATCACCAACAATGTGGATTAAGTATATCCACAATCAGACACACAGATTACATGGGTTTAACTACAAATCAGGGAATGATATCTTAAAAATAATTAATTAGCTAATCTTAGCTGAAGTGTAGTTTTTCTGTCTAATATCTGCTGTGTCTGTCACAGGACTTTTTCATATGTGGTATGAGGACTAAAATGAGCATGTGTGAAGTGAATCAGCTGATTTGTAACTAGTTCCTTGTTGTAGAGATTGTAAGTGTTACAACTATCCCCAGTCTATCTCTTTAAATCTAAGGACTCTATTTTGACGGTCCATGCGCAGAGCGCAAAACGCAGGGCGCAAACGCTTTCAGGGTGTGTCAGAACGGATTTTTGCTAATTTAAAGACGGGAAAATCTGCTTTGCGCCATGGCGCATGGTCTAAAAGGGTTGAGTTTATTTTCTTAATGAGTTATTGGTGTGTTTTGAGAATAAACCAATTAAAGTCTCATCTCCCATTCCCTTTAACAGCCAGCCGCGTCGCGCCATAAGCGCATTTTTAGACCAGAACGCCTATGGACGCACATATGAGCGCAAATGCATTTGCTATTTAAACAGCGTAGCGCAACGCCTCAAAACCACTCTTGCGCCAAGCTGAAACTAGCAACAGACTATTGCGCCGCGCCTTGCGCCGCATTGCGCCGGGTGTATGATAGGGCCCTAAACATTAACTTGTATTTGAAATATAATGTTCACAATTACAATTTAAATTAGATATTAGATCTGCTTACAGCGCGTCATTTACAGTATGTGTTTCAGAAAAGTGAGTGATTATAAATACACTGACCAATTCATAAGTGATTTATCAATTCATACATGCAGCATTTCCATGATTTGGTGGAATTGAGATCATATCATAAGTAAACTGTGGAGTTTGTGTAAACTGTGCATCCGACCACCGTTTTTCAGGTCGACTTGGGTAAGGTTTGCAGGTGCTCCGTCTGTGCACAAACTTTCATTTTGTGTTTTTTCAAGGTTCAAACATGGTAAAATTGGCTTTAGTCTGTTCTTCGACCTGCACCATTTAACAAACTAAATCAAAAGCCACACCGCTAGGCTATTTACAAAACAAATATATATCGAAATATGTATCGGCTATACATCGAAAACACACATTATTTTACACAACTATGAACACTTTAACACGTTTGTGATAATTATTTCACCAATGATGCAGCTTGTAGAAACTTCTAAGTTTGCAGTAACTGAAAAGCACTTCACTAGTGCGTATCTGCTCGAGAGCTCCACAGTTTTTTTCATTCTTAGCATCTGATTACATGATGCACTAAACGTACTAATCATAACTGTGTGATCATACAGTACAGGGAACAACCAATGCTGATCACACCGATGTTGTCGTATACATCAAAGGGTAAAAGGGCGTTCATATATTTTTAATTATTATTCTGTGATTCCTCCGTGCACCGCTAGAAGGAAGTCTGCGTACCACACTTTGAGAACCACTGGTATAGATAGATAGTTAGGCCTTGTCTGTGTCAGGTTTTTCCTTTTTCAGCTAATGGAGAGCAGGCAGAAGAGGGAGACTCAAAAGAGCATCGGTGGACATTTATCTAGAAAATGCTGGAGAACAGCAGGTAGGGCTCTGTCAGTACTGTCTATGGGTGCGTTCCAAATCACATACTTGTACACTATTCTATGCCATTTTGTAGTGTAAATGGTGTAAGTAGTGTGTTCACACTGAAATATTCTTTTTTTTCAGCTTTTTTGCCTTTATTAGATAGGACAGTAATGGGACAGGAAACGAAGTGGGAGACAGAGAAGGGGGTAGAGTTGGGAAATGTCTTCATGCTGGGATTCGAACTTGGGACGCCCTATTGTGCTACTAGTTTGCTTTCAAAGAAATCCATTGAGATAAAATAACGACCTGATATCTTTCTCTTTGACAGGTTGGCATGGAGCATGTGGAGGAACAGGGAAACGCACCTTAGTAATGACAAGTGCATCGTAATAAATTAGATACAGACTTACACTTTTTTAGGTTGAATCAAATTAACTTTATAAAACATTTAAAATCATATACTTTCATTTGTACATACTAGATGATGGTCTGGAATCTCTTTAAGTCAGATAAATGTCTTGTCTGCCGCAGGTGTTTCTTTTTCCTGTAATGGACACACAACAGACAGAAGAAGGAGACTCACAAGAGCATCGGTGGAGATTTGTCTGAAAACCGCTGGTTAACAGTTTGTGCATTTCTAGAGTTCAGCAAGCATGTAGAGCTCTGTTAGTTGTGTCTTTATCTTTTCCAGGCTGGAGTGCAGCATGTGTAGACAAATAGGAATCACACACCTCAGCAATGGACACTGATGGTCAGGAATATCCTTTAAAGGCAGATGAATAGGTGCATGGATGGATGTCCTTCCAAGTGGAAGGGGGTGGTGGTGGGCATAGATTGTTAGATATATGTCTTGTCTGTGGCTATTATTTACAACTACAACAGGCAGAAGAGTCAGACTCACAAGCAAAATGGTGAATATTTATCTGAGGAACACTGGAGAACGTTTGGTTTATTGATGCAGATCATCCAGCAAGTAGAGCTTTGTTAGTCTTGTTTTTGTCTTTTGCAGATTAGACTGGGGCCTGTGGAGAAATGGGACTCGCACCTCAGCATGACTGGAAACTGATGGTCTGGGCTGCGTTTCCAAAACAACGAAGTAACTCGCGGCTAAACTATAAAAGTCTGATGCATTGTTTGAAAAAAGAATGATGTAGTGACGAGTGTTTCCCAAAACCTGTAGTTTCTCTGTCGCAGATCCATCGCTTAAACCAGGTTAGTTATAATTATGATAAAATGCCCTTAATGATGCTCTAAACTACTTTTTTAGAGAAGACAAACATAATTCCTTTGTGCAAATTATACACACTGTAACCAAGGGGAGTGACACAAACAACTGAGGTTGGATCCACATGCAGGTTTATTCAGTGGTCAGGCTAGCAATGGTCAACACAGGTGCAAACAGATGTATAAAGGCAAATCCAGAATCGCAGTCAATATAACAAGCTAGAAGTCGAAAGGCATGCGGCAGACAGGGACAACTAAATAACAAGGCTAGGAAAATGCGTTGTTATGTCACTGTGGCAGAAAAAAGACTCGGCAAAGTGAATGAGTGTGTGTGCTGCTTAAATAGTGTGTGCAATCAGTCTCTGACAATCCTCAGGTGGTGCGAGTGTAATCAGTCTAGATGAGGAAGCATGTGTGTCTGGGTGAAGTGCATGTATGCAGTTGTAGTCCATAAACTGGCAGATTTGTAGTTAGAATGAGAGATAATGTTTAGAGGTTTAGAGGTAATAATGGTTAGAGGTCGCTGGTGATTGTGACACGCGCACACGCATTTAAAATAGAATTTAATATTAGATTTAGTAAAAATATGCACTCGCTTTCCATATTAACTGAAATATATGTAAATGACACAAACAGGGCTAATGTTTGTTTACTAATATTATTGAGAAGTTAAACATTACACATTCTATTCTAAAACATATCACTTACTAAAGCTAACACGTATTCTAATATCATGTAGATCCTATAAATAAATAAATAATAATGGCTATTTATTATAAAATGAAATGTAATATTAATTATTTATTAGAAATGAAAAAATCATACGTTAATAATAATATTAATGATGATGATGGTGATGATGATGATTATTATTATTATTAGGTAGGATATATACTTTAACACATATAAACCACTGCAGAAAGTTCTAACCAGCAGGCCTATGTCATATACAATACAGATACTTAATAAATAACCCACTATAAATTGAAATAATTAATGTATGCTTTTTGTTTTCACAAACTTTGAAGACGTAACATAAATTTTGCTTTTAAATAATAGGTCACCTATAGCTTTCGTCATGAGGCTTGTTCAAAATGACATCAATGTTTTCAAAGTGCACTGCGAAGGGAGCACAGTTCTAAACTGAAAGATCTGTAAGATCGCGAAAACTGAACTGTAAAAATAGTAATAATTGCAACTTTGAATGTTAAAATGTTCTAAATGAATAGGGCATAGGGGGATAACTGAGAATAGAACACAGTCAGGAACTGTTTCTAATTACAGCTCCAGAGCTGTAGTTTCAAGTGCTCAAGTTTGTGACGCAGTTTGTGAATGTTCTTTGGAGCGATGGATTTGGGAAACGGCAAATTAACAAACTATGTTTATAACAATGGAACTTGTGACCTTAGTTGGCTAACAATGGTTTTGGGAAACGCACCCCTGGTTAGGTATTTTTTGGATGAATGGATGGATGATAGATTAATGAATGAATGGCTGGTCAGATGGTAAATACAGTAGATGTCCTTCCAAGAGGAAGGGGGTGAAGGTGGGCATAGATAGTTGGAAAGATGTGTGGCAGCTATTTATATTGTAGTTGATGTACACACAACAGACAGAATAGGAGATTGACCAGGGGTGTCGCTAGACCCCATATACTGAGACACGTGCTCCAGTAAAGGGGGCAATGCAGTAAATAAAGCAACAGTTTAATCGAGAACAAACTGACGCATGTGTGCAGAAAACCATTCTTGTGTGCCTCACGCACCGCTGCTTCTGCTTCTGCTGTGAATCCCGGTTGTTTAACATGCACACTGAAAAAAATACATGCCACTCATAAAACCAGCATAACAGCCTTTAATGCAGTGGTGTCTGCGCTCAGTAAGTTTTGCAAGTCTGCAAAACTACTGTTTAAGTAATATGAGGATGATCATATTTTGACTATACAAGGCTTTTTTTGTATGAAGCACAAAGGAGAGATGATGAATGAGTCAGGAAAGTTAGACTTAATAACATTATTTCTCCGCCATCAGAGTCAGGTCTCAGACAACAGATAATTCTATACATTTTTGTTTTGTGTTTCTCAGAATTCTCATAATTTAAAATTCATGCAAAAGTTTTTTAAGAAAATTTAAAATCAGTTGAATGTAAAGACACAACTGAGTGATAGATTATGAGAGTGATTCGATTATGTTAATTATTTAGGGAAAAAAGTATTATTATAATACAAACATTAAATAATAATAATAATAATACTTTTATTTATAATATAATTCAAATTTTAATGTAAAATATTCAGTATAGCTATTTATATATGGGTAAATAAATGTTTTTTTGGGTGGGGTGAGGTTGAGGGGGGCTCATGGCCCAGTAGAGCTTTACCCCTGAGACTCACAAAGGGGAACAGTGGAGATATACTGGAAGACCTGGAGCTCGGCAAAGAGGTAGAACTGCTTGAACAGACTGAAAAATGGAGTTAGTTTCCAAAGAAATGTAGTAAGATTAATTATAGACCTGATATCTTTCTCTTTGGCAGATTTGTACGGAGCATGTGGAAGAACAGGGAAACACACCTCAATAATCAAAAGTCTATCGTAATAAATTAGGTACAGACTTACATTTTTAAGTTGAATCAAATTAACTTCATCAAACATTTTGATTTATATATTTACATTTTCACAGAGTGATAGTCGGGTATTTTCTTTAGATAGGATGAATGGACGGACGGACGAATAGATAGTATCAAACAAGCAGGTAGAGCTCTGTTGATGTTTTCTTTGTCTTTTACAGAGTGGAGTGGAGAATTTAGGGAATCACATCTCTGCAATGATGAGAAACTGCTGGTCAGGTATCACCTATCACCGAAAGATGTCCAAGAGGAAGGGGGTGGTGGTGGGCTTGAGCTGGGCTCAGACTATAGGAGTTTTAAAAACCTAACCAATAATGAAATCTGGTTGCTGTGAACACATGAGGAGAATCTTTGGCTAATTTTTTAGCCCACCTCGAATCTTAAATGTGTGCTAAGTACAAAATATGAAAACTACGCCACAGAACACAAGATATTAAGGTTATCGTGACCGATGGAGCACATCACTCTCTTTATCAATAATTACCATTTATTACTATACTAATATTAGACCAACTGCCACTACTGGCAAAACACTCTCATGCGCTCAAAATACATTTGGATCCTGTTTGAGTAGCTGTTAGTGGCGGTGATAAAGTTAAATAAATGGTGACCAATATGAATTATGTCCAGTAAGGGTGTTCGGCTCTGGGTTCTTCGGGGTCGACTGCTATTCTCTTCTCCTAATTTTGGAGTCGGTGGAATCGGCTCAAGAATCGACACCTTTTACATTCACTTAAAATAGGGCAAGGATTAAACATGCTGTATCATATCGTTCTTTATACAAGCAGTTCTCCTGTGGTCAGACAAAATCAGCATTTTAAATCATCTGCAGTCAAAATAAAATAATAATCAGCCTATACTTTTTTTAATTTAGAAAAGTAAATTGCAATCTTTGAGACAGAAAGTTAAAACATCAATTTATTATCAAAATATTTAATGAAAAGATGTGTAGCAGCAGTTCAATAACAAATTAAAAAACACCCCAATTGAGCCCAAACAACGCTTAAATAAAAATCTAAATGTTTGATACATAAACACAGAGCATGAGTGAACAAAATAATCAGGAATAGTAATTTTTTCTGCAGTTCTTATGTAAGTTGATCCGCTTCCAATTTAGAAACAGACTCAACTCCCATATTTCTGTTCTCAAGTCGATTCCAGTACTAGGTTCATTGAGAGTCGAGGAGTCGACTCCCCGTCCCTAATGCCCAGACAAATGTCTAATAATAATAATAATAGGCTTATAATCTCTCCATCATGCCACGATGTGCTGTGCATTCTTGCTCAAAAGCTAAATTGTTACCTGTTGCACTGCCTATATTGTGTAGAAAAATAATCTGTTATAGCATATAGAGCTACTCTATGTTGGTTTACGGCACTAGACACAGGCCTCACAGGAAAGATATATCTGTAATTTCTAAAAGCACATTTTAATGTTGAAGCTTTTTGTTTTTTGGAGATAACTAGCAATTTAGTAGGCATAGCTACCCAGCTACATCTGGCTCATAAATATTCACACACAGAATAACGTTAGTGGCCAATGAAAACTGATCATTTAAGCTTATTATAAGGAGGTTGTTGTCCTATCCACAAACTGAATAACTCACTTTTTTAATTACTTATTATTAATTTAGTAATATTTTACCAACTGCCACTACAGGAAAACACTAATATCCTGCAGTCGAAATAGGCTACACTACGTCTTAGTTTGCGTAGCTGTTCATGCAGTTAGCCTGTAAAATTAAATTAACACACGCAAGTTGAG